CCCACACACTCAAACTTACTTGTCTCACAATTCTGGCCAGTCCAGCCAGCAATGCAATTGCAGTAATAGCTACCAATCAGGTTCCTGCAGGAATTGGCATTGATACAAGGTTTGCCCTCGCATTCATTGGCATCTGAAAAGAGAAAACGAATTGCTCAATGCTCAGCTGTGGGTAGAGTGAAAGAGGAAAGCACACACCCCTCTCTTGTTTTCACAGCAGGCACTCCACGTTTATCAAAAGCTAGGGAACTCTGAAAGATTACACGATTGCACAAGTAAGAGGAGAACAACTTCAGGACTTGGCAACTTGATGCCCTCCAAACATCGGGGAATACAACTCCCAGCAGCCGCAGCCTGTCATCACAAACTAGAGGAAGTACAGTCCAAAAAATTCAGGAACGGCACTAGGCTGCCTAGTCCTGCGCTTAAATCACTAAACCATGTTCTGATTTCTCATAATGGCATCAATAGCATTGAGCCCCCGCGATTAAGAGCAATTACTTTTAAAAGGGAAGCGGAAGGCAGGAAGAGTTGAGTGAAGTGGAGATTAGCCAAGGAATAGAGCATCCCCAGTCCTTGGGATTAAAACATGGCCCTCGGAATGCAGGGAACTCATTCTTCAGAGGATCAAGACAGAGGTTGGAATGCAGCTGCAAATTCTCCTGGTAGAATGAGTTAATGAGGCTGGTGGGATGCCCCGACTTTCCCACGAGGCCAAAAGGGAAGGAAAAACAGGAGAGGGCATTGCCTTGAGAAGGAATATTTGCCCTTCACAGCAACCAATTATGCATCGCAGCCGATCCCAAGATAAGCAAGCAGTCTCAAGAGTTGCATAAAGGGGGCTACTCCTCCCCCCCCCCAATCACGGTGCAGGTAGATGGGAAGGGCTAAGATAACTGCACAGGTTAGTCTTGTGTGTCCTTGGGCAAATGGTAAGGACGTTCTCCTCCTCGGACTTCAAGCAACTCCAGAGATTCCCAGATTAGCCATATTTGAATTTCTCATATAATACAACAGGCTCAGATACTCTGATATTTTCTTCTGCAATTCACGGGGACTCATGGAAAATCTGTTATATTATGCAATTTAACAATCTCCACAGACTGAGCATCTTATCTGGGAAGCTGTTTTCATCAGTTTGGCCCACGGAAGAGAAGAACCTGTGGTTTCCCTGATAAGCTCAAGGGATAGCGTCCCTTGCGATTATACGTACCTATTTGACATGTTTTCCCAGTCCACTGAGGTGGGCAAACACATTTAAATCCATCAACTAGATCCTGGCAAGTCCCTCCATGCCCACAGGGGTTTGGAGAACAGTCATCAATATCTGCCAAGGAAAGATTTATTTAGCCTTAGGTTAGGGCAATTATCATCTGATCAACCTAATATTAGCAATGGTGCATCTTTATGCTGTATAGTATACCAAAGGAAATATCCAACTTTTATATTGTGCTCTTCACTTTTCATTCCTCCCTGCCCCACCTCAGCTTTCTTTTGCGCCTCAGACATCCTGAAACATTAGTTATGGACTTTGATAAGAAGAAACTTTCAGCACCAGGAATATTCGCATTGGTCAGGTTTTCTGGTGTTAATAGCCTTCAGAAAAAGCGCTAGTCAATTTCACATTGTCTTCAAACAGGAGGCAACTACTCCAGCCAGAATATACCAGTGAAAATATTCATTCATGGATATTCACACATACACACACACACACAAAAACCCCAACAACCATTCCTGTCCTGCTTTTTAAGTGCCAGGATTAGAAACTCAAGTCTGAAAGGGATTCCAATGAATTCAATTTATACTTGGGAGAAGTTCAAGTGAGGCCCAGGAAAA